CTATGAACCGTGGCCTGAACAGCGATTCGACAACGCAGTAGCGACAGGAAGAGTGAAGGGAGGAGAAGTGAGAAAGGACCGCCACGTTGTGTGGGCCAAGCCGATGCCTCTGCCAGCCATTTTTAGAAACACACAGCTGACGAAGCAGAGGAGGAGGAGGTTGAGGAAGGGAGGGAGGAAGGGGAAGAGGGGAAGACGAAGGCTAGGCAGCGTGGTCGCTCAAATGTTGCTGGCTCGCGTACTGGACGGCGGAAACACAGCTGCAGCCCAACATGGGGCAGCGTATCGAGGCCATACTTGTTGAAACCAGCGGGTGATGGATTATGTCCCTAATCCCCATCACGCTGAAAAGTGGCAGGCGGATGGGGAGTGACGCGAAACAAAGCATGTGCGCCCTGCTTGTGCGAGCAGTGCCATGCAAGCCACTAATTCGGGGCAGGAGGGAGGAGGGAGGAGGAGGAGAAGGAGGAAGAGGAGGATGGCCGGGAAGAACGACGCTCTCGCCGAGCGTCGCAAAAGAACGCACGTCATCCAGCCGACCTGGACATGACGGCGCAGAGAGAAAAGGACGTCCAGGCCGCACTGCCCAGTTTCACGGCGTGCATGGGAGGAGCGAAGAGGAGGCAGGAAGAGGAGGCGGAGTGCCAGCCCACATGGGAGGGGCTAGCCGAAGCTCCGCTGGAGAAAGAGAAGAGATGTGAGTCCGAGTTGACGCTGAGTCGATGACGCATTGCAAGCGTGGACCATCCGATGCGAACACGCGCCAACGGTAGCAAAACAGCCACGCGCTGTTGCCGCATATTTCCGCCTACTGAGGGGACGGCCGACCGCGACGCCACGAGGCAATGAGAGGAGGACGAGGTGGATGGAACCGCAGATCACAATGGGGCAAAGGGGCCCTGAACCGCCTGCCGAGATCGCCCGGGCCAGCAGCCGTTTCGCCCGAGACTTCCTCGCATTTGATCACGAATCGCGCTCTCGCCTCAATACCACAACCTCCAACGTCTCGAGGGACTCGAGACGAAAGCGTTTCTCTGCGCGCAGACTCTGGAGGCCCTCGCCGGGACCCAGGACCGTCAACAAAACGACTCAGGATGAAGAGCCGAGAAGGTCCAGACCTCCAGGGACCAAGCCTGGAGAAACTCGTGTTAACGAATGCCTGGGACGGCGAAACTGTTGGTCCGCACAGCCACGATCCCTTGTCAACAAGAACTAAGGTGCGCATGGCCGCGCGCTCGCCCCTGTCCCCTGTGCTTCGCCGACCTCCCGCTTCCTCGACACGCCTCTTCACCCGTGCCGGTGTCAGGGTGCTCTGCTGTGGTGTTGTGTTAGAGCCGCGGCGCTTCTCCCTCGTTCCTGCCTGCCTCCGGGGCCCGTCATCTTATGGAATCCCGAAACGGTGCGGTGACAGACCGTGCCGTGACCTCGAAATCCCCCAAGACCTCACCGCACGGTGCGTCACCGCACGGTTTTGGGACCTCGGAGGCCCCTGTCGCCCAAGACATCCTCGGGAAGGGACTCGAGTCCCAAAACCGTGCGGTGACACCGAATCGCCACCGACTGCCCACACGGTGTGGTCACCACACTGTTTGGGGGCCCCCGAGTCATCGGGCGCTGCAGACCATCAAACACGGATCCGGGAGAACAAAAAAAACCTCGGGGGGGGAAGGCGGGCGGGATCTCTGTGGCTGCGGACGGACAGGATCGGATCCGCGGATGTCTGGGAATATGCTAGAAGGCGATGGCGGGATGCCATGGTGGCGAGGGCCCTACATACCTGTCTTGAGTCGGGCATGTCCCCCTGCAGGCGGATTTTGGACGATTATTTTTTTTTACAAACACACTCCAGAAGAATACCCCACAAAATACTCCAACATAATCCGCCAACCACTTGTGGGTCTCTAGGCGTGTGAGATGATCCCCCCCTGTAATCCCCCCCGGGTTCCCAAACTGGCAATTTGACCCCCACCCCACCCACCCCTGGCCGAGCCCGACCCCAGACCGAACGCGCCACGGGGGAGCGGAGGGCTCCAAAACTGGCCAAAAAGGCACCAAAACGCTCCTCAGACGGTCCCAGAGGGCCACGAGATCGTTCATGACGCCCACGATGGCCTCCAGACGGCCTCCGAAGTTGCCAAGACGCCCCAAAGGCCCCCAAGATGCGTCCAAAGAGGGCCCCAAGAAGCAAAATCGTCCTATTCCCTTGACCCCCCCAAAAACACATGTTGCGCATCCTCGCCTGTTCGGCTTTCACAAGGTCCAAGACAGGCAAAGAAACAGTCAATATCGCCCCCGGACGGCCGAAGGGGCCCCCAAGAGGGGCCGAAGACGATCCAAAAGCAGCCCACGAAGCCCCCAAGACAGCCCACGAAGCCCCCAGACGGCTCCAAGAGGGAGTCCAGATGGGACCTTTCCGAGCCTTCGGCCCAAAGACGCCCCCAGCCTGCCTCAATAACACCCCGAGAGGCCCTGAGGGACCCCCAAAAGAACCTCACAGGCCTCCAAGAAGCCCCAGGAAGCCCCCAAGAGGCCCCCAAACTTGGCCCAAGATGCCTCCAGGCGGCCAGATATGGCCTGCAGACAGGCCAAGATGCCACCAAAAGGCCACAAAAGGGCACCAATAAGTACGATAACAACAACGAAGCAACAGGAACGATGTCGAGCGCCGTGTCATGATTCGGACAAGCCTCGTGAAATGCAGCCCCGGAGGCGCAATAGCTTATATAGGGGTCGGCGGATGTGGCGTAAGCTTATAGAAGAAAGAACATGTTTTGACTCTTCCTGAATGATCCCCCCGTAGAGATACAGGCCCGACTTGCTACTTTTCATCCTTGCGCCCAGCATCCGGCGACGTGCTTTTGCACTCAGCGGCCCCAGGGAGGTCCGACCCCCTCCCCCCCCAGGGCCCGAGGCCTGACGAAACACACGCCCCGCTCGACACAGAGCGGGGACGCCACGGACCTCAGGCAACGCCGACCTGCAGGATCCGCGCCGGGTCCGAGTCCGCAAATTTGATGAGGAGCCCTCCGCTTCATACGCCGGGGCCTCCTCCTCCTCCTCTTCCTACCCCTCCTCCTCCTCCTCCTCCTCTCGGGTGCGTGCAAACATGGATTAGCTATCCATGGATTTGCCGCGCGGTCGCCAGATCCATGGATCGGGGGAGGGGCCCTCCCCAAAATGCGGCCGGTGCCGCCTCGTTCGGCGGCGGGGATCCGCGATGTCCCATGGAAACGCGACCCGTCGCTAATCCACGCCCCCTTGATCCATGTTTGCGATCGCCTGACATACGTCGGGGATTGTTCAAAGAAGACGCGTTTCGCCCCCAGACGGCTGCGGCCACAGAAGGCAAAGCGTCAAGCGATAGTCGACATTGTCACGCAAATGCAAGCGGGGACAAAAACGGGCAAACCGTTCCTCGAAAACCTCTCTCGCGGCATGTGAGACGAGAGCAGCGCCCATGCATCGTACCATATTTAGCCTCCCTTCAGGCCCCGTTTCAACGCGGCACGGTGCAGACTTAATTGAACTGCAGCGCCAAGAAAACGATACCGTACCATTCCTGGGTCGAGGATCGACGATGCCTCGGGAGACGCTAACGCCGTACGGTGCATAAATGAAGGCCTCCACGACGGGGTGCGAGTGTAATGGGATGCGAGTGTACAGGGTCGGAGGCTCGCGCTGCAGTAACGGTGCGCGGAGCAACTCGAGCCCCACATCGAGCCGCGATCCTCCGACACCGTCTGTTCGGACCCCATCTGTGTGAGAGCCGAAACATACTGATACCGCTACTCCTGGGCACCCTGTGAGAGGTCCGGAATGCGGGTATCGGTATGACAGGGGTACGTTCTTACCCGAATTTCGAGGCGAATCTGGCCGTGGCGACGAGGGCCCCCCACGAGGCCCCCAAAATATGAGAACGAGGTCAGGGTAGCCGCATCGATGCCTTCTCCTCCAGTCACATCTAGGAGCCCCAGAGAGCCGGAGTGAAACTCTACGCACCAGGAGTGGCGCGCCTCCCCTGGTGGTTCTGGCTTTCCACTGAGACCCTCCAAGGCCTCGACCCATTGCCCGGGACTGTTTTTTCATGGCAGAGGTATCGGCATCTTTTCTGCCTCTGATGGGCGGCGCGCATAGGGCAGTAGGGGGAGGGGGCAAGGCTTATTGGAGGGAGGCTCCTTCTTCTTCGCAGGTGTCACCTTTACATCAAAAATGAAGGCCCGCGCCTTCTGAGAAGCAGGGGTGCTTCTAAGAAGCCTTCCCCCCTCCCCCTACCCACCTCTGCGCGCGGCCGAGTAGCTTCGCGTTCCTGTTCCAGGTTCGCCGGTTTTACGGTGGGGATTGTCCGTAGCATCGTTGACGGTCTTCTCCGCTCGCCAAACCGCGAGTCGACCTCCCAACAGGAGCGAAGCCCCGAGAGGAGCGAACTCCGCCGCGAGACCCAGGACGCGGTCGTGGCGCTCCGCAGCGCTCGGCCGCACCTCCGCCACGGACGTCGCGCCGTGGGCTCCGTGCTCTGTGTGCGTGGGCCCCCCGCGGCCCGCAGGCGCGGGCTTCGGCACCAGGGGCTCTGCACCGGCGCACGGCGGCGCGGCCGAAGAACCAAGCCCGGCTGATCGACATACGACGACGACGACGACGACGACGACGACGACGACGACGACGACGACGACGACGACGACGACGACGACGACGACGACGACGACGACATCGACGACGACGACGACGACGACATACGACATACGACGACGACGACGACGACGACGACGACGACGACGACGACGACGACGACGACGACGACCACCACCTGGCTGGCCGCCTTGGTAAAGCCCCGAGCACCAGGGGGGCCCGCGCCTTCGCGGGCGCAGCGGGCCGCGGGCCGCGGGCCCCGCGGCCGCCCGCCGCGGCCGACGGCCCCGGGCCTGGCGGAGCGCCGCGGGCCCCGGGCGCCGCCGGGGCGCCGCGCGGCCCCCCGGAGGCGCCCGCCTCCCGCGGGGCGGCGGCCGCCTGCGGGCCGCCCGCCAGCGCCTCGCGGAGGCCGCCGGGGCCCCGCGAGCGGAGCCCCCCCTCCTCCTCCTCCTCCTCCTCCTCCTCCTCCTCCTCCTCCTCCGCCTCCTCCTCCGCCTCCCTCCTCCTCCTCCTCCTCCTCCTCCTCCTCCCCCCTCTCCGCCTCCGCTTCCGCCTCCGCCTCCTCCTCCTCCTCCTCCTCCTCCTCCTCCTCCTCCTTCTCCTCCTCCTCCTCGAGTCGTGCCACACCACGGCGGAGGTGCTCCCGTTCTTGCCCGTTTGGGGCCTCCAAGGGGTCCCTCGCGGGCCCCCCCCCCAGGGCCGTGCAAGAGGCGGCTCGGGACGAGAGCGCGGTCCCGCAGAATGGGTCCAGACGTCTGGGGATCGACGCTGCGAAAAAAGCATGACGCCAGGGGTCTGGGGTCGATCGAGGATCGAGGAGGGTCGAGCAGGAGGAGGGGGAGGAGGAGGAGGATCCAGGAGGAGGAGGAGGAGGAGGATCGAGGAGGAGAAGGAGGAGGATCGAGGAGATGGCGCCTCGGGCGCCGCGCCTCGCGAGGCGGCGGCCGCCGGCGGGGGCCGCCCCGCGCCAGGGTCGGCGAGCATGCTGCGAGACAGGGCGGCGGCCACCTCCCACTGCTCGCTGGTCGGAGGAAGAGAGAGCAGCACGCACATAAGCTGCTGGAACGTGCTGTCGCTAGGACGTCCCTTCAGCATGCGGCATGCCTTGTGCGGGGTTTCGCGCGTGCCAGTGTCTCACAAGATGGCCCAGGATGTTCCAAGATGGTCTGGATGTTCTGGCGCTGGCTTCGCCGAATAACACACACGTCCGAGCGATGCCAAATTCGAGCTCCACGCGGGATTCCAGGATCTGTGCTGGGCCGCCCTCCCTGGCGCGCGGATCGCGCCAGGGGTCCCAGCGCAGATCCAAGAGATCTCCGCAGAGCTCCGAAAGCGTATATGATTGTGCCGCTTACCCTTCTTCGGGCTGTTGTTCGCCGCGGCGATGGCGGAGTTGTAGGCAACGGCGTTCGGGGTCACGCTCCCGGCCCTCATCTGCTGGACCAGCGAGAGCGCCAGCTCCCACTTGCTGCAGCTCTCGCAGGCCGCGAGCGCGGAGCCGTACGTGACCACGTCGGGGGGAACCCGGGCGTCCAACATCTGGTCCAGAACCTGCAGCGTGGCCTTCCACTTCCCCCCCTTGGCGCAAGCGTTCAGCGCCGCGTTGTAGGCGATGACATCCAGCTTCATCCCGCTGCTGCGCATCTTGTTAAAAATCTCCAGGGCGGGCTCCCACTGCTTGCTCTTCGCGAACGCGCTGATGGCAGCGCTGCAGGTGACAAGGTTCGGCTGCAGGCCTTCCTCCTGCATCTGCCTCAAAAATTCCAGCGTGTAGCGGGAATTGCCGTTGCCCTTGCCACAGGCGCTGATGGCGGAGCTGTAGGCGATGGAGTCGGGGGAGATGGCGTCGGCGCGCATCTGGTGGAACAGCTCCAGCGCCACCGTCCAACGCCCGACCTTTTCGCTGGCCTGGATGGCGGCCGTGTACGTCTGCCGGTCGGGGTGGATGCCGTTCTGCCGCATCTCGCGCACGAGGGACATGACGCTGTCCAACTGCTTAGTCTTGCCGTACGCCGACAACACCGCGTTGCACGTGATCACGTCGGGCCAGATGTTCTCCCGCTGCATCTGGTGGAACAAGTCCACGGCCAGGTCGCACTGCCGGCTCCGGCCGGCTGCGCCGATGGCCGTGCTGTAGGTGACCTGGTCGGGGCGGATGCGCCGCCAGGCCATCTCCTGCACCAGGCCGTTCATCGTCTGCCACTGCTCGCCTTCGCCACAGGCGGCCAGGGCGATGTTGTAGCTGACCACGTCCGGGGAGATGCCGAAGTCCTGGGGGAGCCAAGAGTTGGAGGCCTGGAAATGGGCACCAACACCAACACAGTGGTTTGCCTTCCACTGGGGGAAGATGATCCTAGATTTCGGTGTTGGTGGCAATAGTTCGATCACCTTGGAAGCCAGAATATTACCACCATCACCGAAATCGGGATATTCTTCCCTCGGTGGAGGCACACCGCCGATATTGGTGTTGGTGTCAATCTCTAGGCTTGCGAAAGAAAGGTACCGCTGCCGCGACTCCCCCGCCCTCCCGCGGAAGGGGCGCTGCGACCAGAACGACGGGACGAAGCCAGTCGCAGCTACGAGGGCCTCCTGGGAGGCCAAGAAAAGCAAAAACGAGGCAACGGCAGCGGTCTCGATCTCCTCTGACGCTGACTTCCGCCGATATCGATATGATTTGTTCATTCGCGACCCCAGGAGTCCCGACCGCTTCTCTGTAGTTTTGCGCCTCAGGGCCCGCACATGTAAGCTCCAAAATGATACATCCATCTCGAAGCGAAACACGAATTACCCGATACATACCGTAATACATACCCAAGCCCTTCTCACCGCGAGGCAACTATGTATCTGAACGCGCACAGCAAGAGAACACGTTGCGAGGACAATCTACTCCGCTGGCAGCCTCCCAAGGAGCCGCGAAGTCTCGCCTGCCTACCGCCTGCGCTGGACCTCCCAGGAACCAACGAAACTGGCGACAAATCCAGAAGTGGCAGCCTGCGGCAGCCTCCCCAGGAGCCGCGAAACCCCGCCTGCCTACCACCTCCGCTGCACATCCCGGGAGCCCAACGACAGTGGCGAAAGATGCATGCGCACCGCCTCCGCTGGACCACCCAGGAGCCTGCGACAGTGGCGACCTCTGCCTCGCCTGCCCACCGCCTCCGCTGGACCTCCCAGATGACCAGCGAGACTGGCGACGGCTGCGCAGCTGGCCGCCTCCCAGAGGGGGCGCGCAGCCTCGCCTGCACTGGGCCTCCCAGGAGCCCACGGACGTGGCCACGGTTGCGCAGCTGGCAGCTTGTCAGGCAGCCGAGAGGCTTCGTCTGCCCATCGCCTCCGCTGGGCCTCCCAGGGGCGCACCAAAATGGCGGAGGCTGCGCAGCCTGCAACCACCCCATGAGCGCCGCGAAGTCTCGCCTGCCCACCGCCTCCGCTGGACCCACCGGGAGCCCTCGGAGACGGCGAAAGTTGCGCGGCGGGCAGCCTCCCAAGGAGCCGCGAGCCCCGCCTGCCCACCGCCTCCGATGGACCTCGCAGGAGCCCACGAAAATGGTACCGTTGCGCAGATGGCGTCCTCCCGAGGGGGCCGCGAGTTCTCGCCTGCCTCACCACCTCCTCTGGGCCTCCCAGGAGTCCACGAGCGCGGCGACGGTTTCGCAACTGGCAGCCTTCCAGGGAGCCGCGAGGTCTCGCCTGCTCACCGCCTCCGCTGGACCTCGCAGGAGCCCGCGTGAATTGCGACGACGGCGCAGCAAGCAGCCGCCCGGGGAAACGCAACGGCTGTGGTGATAGCGCCTGCGGACGTAGGGAGGCCAGCCAGGGGGCAAAAGAGGAGGGATAGGCGAGAGAGGACGGGAGGAGGTTGCGCGACCAGTGCTCTATGAAAGGTGAGAACCGACACAGGAGGGCGCGGAAAAAATGCCTCGGCGGCCACATATCGCTCGGGACATCGGGCGACCAATAATGAGGTGCTTCGTGTTCACGTACCCGTATTTGCGTCACCGGCTCGCCCATCGTATTCCCGAGCTGACGCACACTCTTGAACGCGAAAACAAAGACATGGAGTATAGAATGACATGCAAGGGAGGCAGTGGAAGGGACATTTGAACAAGATCGGTTGCGTAGAAAAACGTGCTCACACTCAAACCTCGATCCCGTGCCCATGTCACAAGCTCCACTTCGCACCAAACTTACTGAAGCGCTTCATCCCCCACGTATCAACATTCGTATCCACATCTCGGTAAACGTATTCGCGAGCTGGTACGCACTCTTACGCGTGAGGACACAGGCAAAACGTATAGACTCGCATACAGCGTGCTTGCCCGATCCCAATCGTCCCAGGGATGGCTGCTTATAAATTATTCGCATATAGTTTTGCACGCCTGCTACCATCCGAACACAATACATTGGCGAATCGGTGGGGTAAGTAAGCCGGGTAAACATGGGCCTGGGACGTCATAGTCTTGCCCTCAACTTCGATGCGCCGACGATTCTTGAAGGAAAATACATTCCGTCCAAGGCACGCATACTGATCGCACAGGCTGACATCGAAAGGGCCGCAGTTCCCGACCATAGGACGGACTAAGTTCTCCAGAAAGGGTGCCAGAAGGCGCTCTGGTCGATGCGTCTCACTTCAGCACGGGTGTCGGGCGCCAAAGTGAGACAAAACGGTGGTGTGCCGCTAGGGACTCATTACAAGGATCACCGCTCTCGAAGGTACGCACGCGCAACCGATAGAGAAGAATATTGAACGGGAGGACGCTGGAAGCTGGCTTGTTGCCGCTCTCGGGAGCCAGCCGATCGTTGTCGGAGAACGGCTTCAGCAGCGAGGCGACACCTCATGGCTCGGCCCCAGCGCGGATCACAGTGGCACGATGCCTGGCGATACCCCAAGACCGACCGACACTCGAGGGCAATCATGGCCGCAAGCAACTTGCCGGACCTTGCACATGTACGGAGGCGCGCGGTGATATCCAAAGACTGCCACAGGGAAGATCTCCCAGCGTCGCGCGAACACCATAACGGCCTGCCGCTCTCCCCGCACCTTCCGCGCCACCGACTAGGCCGGCTGGGCACGGCGTCGCTTCGGATGGAAGGAGCTCGGGATTGCGGGAGGCGCGATGGCCGAGGGACCGGTCTGGCCGCGCAAAAGGTCCTCGAGTTTGGACTCGTACGCCTTCGCGCGCGCAGCCAACGAGTCTGGCAGCCCGTCGACGCTCTCAACGATCTTGGCATTGCTCTCGTATCGCAGCACTGATGTGTTTGCCTTCCACCTCCCTCGCGCTTGTATACCGTTTCTGGTCCACCGCTTCGTGGCGCAGTCGATGGATGCGCCTGAATGCATTGCCAGACAAGGTGGCGCCTTGATACTCAAGCGCTGGCGAGCCCGATGGACCTGTCTCAGGTGCGCTGCATAGGTGAAGCTGAAGACGCGGACGTTCGGCCTTCTGGAGAGCATCTGCAATGGTGGACATGTAAGAGAGCCAGCGACAACTTAGGTCGGAGCCCTCGTCTGCGGCATAGGTCGTTGAAGTCCGACAGCGAACCCGTCGAAAAGCAGTGCCCAGTCAGTCCATGAGACAGAGATCCTGGACTCGGGGGCGAGAAAATCCCTTTCGAGCAGCTTGAACGGCTCTGGTGGGCGCATAGAAAGTTACCAGCATGAACAGGGTGCAATGTGCCATGGCCCAGTAGTTGTCCTGGCGTAGCCCCCCAGGCGACGGCCGCCCTGATGCTCGATGCCAGAGGGCGGCGCGAACGAAGAGGGCAACGACGACGCCACGCTTTGATGCCGCGCCTGCCCCTGGGAAGTCGCCGACCTACCTGTCGGCCGAACTCGGGAACAAGTGTTCGATGCGGGCAGCTGCCCCGTCGCTTGGCGCCCTCGTGCTCGCCCGCGTTGAAAAGCTTATGAAGCCCCTGCAGAGAGCGGCAAGAGGCCCGCGCAAACCAGCTGATTAGCCTCGAGGGCCCCACTGGCTGTCGAGACCTCGCGGGTCGAACCCGCTCCAGCGCGGGCGTTCGCTTCGCCCGCCTCACTGGCGTCAGTCATGCGACGTCATGTTTTTTTCACAACGGGGTCCCTGTCGGGAGCGGCCAAGAGGGGGGTGTCCAAGAGGGGGGGGGTGCAAATCATGACCGGCGGCTTGTGCGCGGCCCAGCGGGGGGGCCAGGGACCCAATGAAACAAGAAGAGGCGCCATGAAATCTGGGGAAATGTCATGGCCCACGCCATGATATCCACCCCCCCCTAGTCATCACACCCCTCTTTTCCGCCCCCGACCCTGGAAGTCCCGACCCCTTCCCCGGGACCGGTCCTTCGTCCCGAGCCGTTCTTCGACGCGCCCGAGGCCCGGCAAGGGCCCTCGGAGGCCGCAGACAGCCCAGGACCCTCCCGCCCTGCTCTTGGTGTTTGGTTTTCCTCGACGACGCGACCAGGTCTGGGGTCGGAGGCCGCGCCACTGCCCGCCAACGCCTCGGTCGGCTCGGCCTCGGCCGCCGCCTCCTCCAGAGAGGGGCGCCTCCTCGGCCCCCCGAGGCTCGGGCCGGGCGAAAGGGGGGGATAGCAAAGGGGGGGGGGGGGAAAATCAGCTCACGCGGCTGATTTTCCCGGCGCCTCCCGGCGCTGGTAGGCGCCCATGCATCGAGGAATGGGCCTGGCGGCGAGGCCGAAACCAGCTGCATGCAGCAGATTTCGTAACCCCCCCTTTCCCACTCCCCCTCTTTCGTCCGGCCCGACAACGCCTCGGTCGGCTCGACCTCGGCCGCCGCCTCCTCCAGAGAGGGGCGCCTCCTCGGCCCCCCGAGGCCGAGCGCCGCGGCGGCTCCGGTCGCCCTCGGACGACTGGGGCCGCGGGCACTGGCGCCGCGCAGGCGGGGGGCGCCCGCGGCGCGGCGGCTCCCCGATGGCGCCCCTGCCCCTCGCGGGCGGAGGAGGAGCGAGGAGGAGCGAGGAGGAGGAGGAGGAGGAGGAGGGGGAGGGGGAGGGGGAGGGGGAGGGGGAGCGAGGAGAAGGGGGAGGAGAGACGAGGATGGAGGATGGAGGCAGAGGGGGGAGGAGGGCTCTTCCGGCCACCCGCGCGACCTGCGGCGCCCCGCGAGGGGAGAGGCGGGCGCGCGCGGACAGACCAGAGAGGCAGGTGCTGAAACCGAGGCGAGTGCATCTGGGGCCCCAGGTCCCGTTGCGGGCGCTCTCGGGCCCCAGGCTCTGTGTCAGGCATCCTGGGCCCCAGGTCCGCTTCGGGCGTTCTGCGGCCCGAGGTTTTGTTTCAGCCGCTCGGGGCCCCCAGCCCGTTTCAGGCGTCCTGGGCCACGGATCCTGTTTCAGCCATTCATTCTGGGCCCCAAGTCCTGCTTCGGGAGCCCAAGGCCCTGTTTCAGGCATTCTGAGCCTGGGTTTAGCGCTTCCACCACGCTTAGAACCGTACACAAGGCCTGGTCTACCGCTTCCCAGGGCGCTTGAAATCGTATCCAAGTCCTGGTCTACCGCTTCCCAAAGCGCTTCAAACCTCATCCAGGGCCTGGTCTGCCGCTTCTCAAGGAGCTCGAAACCGTAGCCAAGGCCTGGTTTACCGCTTCCAAGGCGCTTGAAGCCGTATCAACGGCCTGGTCTACCGCGTCCCAAGGCGCTTGAAACTGCATCCACGGCCTGGCCTACCGCTTCCCAGAGCGCTTGAAACCGTTTCCACGGCCAGTTTTCCGCGTCCCGGGCTTCGTTGCCCTGGCCGCCTCCAGGTCCTGGCCTCTCCGACCGGCAGTCCGCATCTGCGCCGTAGAGGTCACATCAGTGTTTGATTTCCCCGATAATGCTAGGGAGCAGGCCCCGCCTTGCGGCCTGCAGCTTCAGTTTCTGCAGCACCAGTCATTCGCCTCCGGGCACGCATTTGACTATTCTTCCGATTCGTTTTCCACACGCGCCGCTCCAAGAGGGCCCCTCATGGTGCAGCGCCGCCTCCAAGAGGCATTCCGTGACAGATCAGGTCTCTGTATTAAAGACCAGCGGATGTGTTAATTCTGCTCGGCGGGTTTCGTTGTGATCCGACCTCAGCACACGAGAGGATGTATTAACCATGCATGGCCGCGAGGATTGCTTGAGCGGAAAATGAAACGAGACACCCGAGAGTTAGAAAGCTCCTGGACGCTCCCTGGCAGAGATTCAGGAAACCTTGCGGAGCTTCATTGCAAGGATGTTGAGAGCCCTGCGAAGCGCCCAACCCGCCATGCAACTAGCACAGAACAAAACCTACGAAACTTCCTATGGGGTTTGAAATCTCGATTTGTTCGAAATCCCAGGCAGTCTTGCGCAAATCAAGCCCAAGACATCACATTGTCCGTTCTGGTCGCGCTGGCGAACTACGACGACGCTGTACGGCCGACGGCCGACGGCGACGAAAATCCCGGGGGGGGTGGGGGGGAATAAATCTTCCGCCGTTCGGAGATCTGCTCCCCGCCCCAAGAGAGGACGGGGGGCGATGTACGATTCCGGGGCTCACATGAAGCGGCCGAGAGGCCGAATCGACGGAAAACGCTGGGATTGAGAACATCTTCGCGTCGGTCGGCGGCGAGCCCAGGGGGCCAAAGTCAGAGGGGGCGGGCCCGGCGACCCTCTCAGACGGCTCGAAATGCCCCTGGCCTCCCGAAAAGTTCTCGGCAGGCGGGGACGGTTTGCCAGCAGGCCTGGGGCCTTCGGAGAAGCCCCGCCGCCCTCTGAGCAAGCCTGCCCCCTCCCGCTTCCCCCCAAAAGGAGCGCCGCCGAGGGGGAGCTCTGCATGGGTAGGGCGACGCAGTCTGTACTCGGGGGCGTCCAAAGAGGGGGGCGTCCACGAGAGGGGGGGGGCGCACATCATGGCCGGCGGCACGTGCGCGGCCCAGGGGGGGGGGGGGCAGGGACGTCATGAAACAAGAAGAGGCGCCACGAAATCTGAGGAAATTTGAAATAGCATGGCCCACGCCATGAGATCCACCGCCCCCCGGGCATCACCCCGCTCTGGGCCGCCACCGAGCCCCCAAAGGAGGCATCGCGACCCAGGTTCTGGCCCGTGGGGCGCCTGTTGGGGGGGGCCCTGCGCGTCGGGGTCCCGGGCCCGCCCGCGCTCCACAGGGCCAAAACGATGCCTTTGGCCTGTGGGGCTCTTTTTGGGGGGCCTTTTTTGGGGGGCTCTTTTTGGGGGGCTCTTTTGGGGGGGGCCCTGTGGGGCTCTTTTTGGGGGGCTCTTTTTTGGGGGGCCTGTGGCGCGTCGGGTTTTCTTGTTTGCCTTGCGGGTCATCTCCGCCCCGAAGGCTACGCTGCGCCCATCGTGCTTACGCACCAAATCCCAGAGATAATCCCGAGCACCTGGAAAAGTGCCGAAGGAGACCCGACAGAGTATCGAAACAGTGCCGGGCGAATGTCTCCCGGGGCCCGACGCGTGAAAACCCTCGGGCTTCGGTATTTTGTTGTCTGGTGCTTGAAAACTTCTTCCTCGTGCTCAGGGCCACAGTAGGCTGGTGCATCCTTCGGGTCGGGCGAAAGGGGGGGATAGCAAAGGGGGGGGGTTGAGAGTCAGCTCACGTAGCTGCTTTTCCCGGCGCCTCCCAGCGCCGGAGGCGGCCATTCATCGAGGAATGGGCCCCTCGGTGAGGCCGAATCCAGCTGCATGCAGCAAAGTTCGTACCCCCCCTTTCCCAGTCCCCCCCTTCGTCCGGCCCGAATCAGAGCCCGAGGGCAGGGCGACGAAGTCTATAGACATCTCCGCTGCTCCCCTGGCGGGGCCCTCCCGGGGCCCCGGAGCGGCGGCCGCGCCCCCGGCCGAGCCAGGGGGGCGTGGCGTGCGAACCGCCGCAGGGCTCGGGGTGGTTCCGGCCAGGCAGCGGCCGGCGGGTGCGCAGCGGAGGCAGTTCCAGAAGGAAAGAAGGGGCCCTGGGACACACAGAAGCAAAAGGACACAAACAACAGGATCCCCCCTCTTTTCCTATATTTCTTCTGGGTTTCTGTCTTCCCCCCCCCTTCCAATATATTCCCGTCGTTCCTGGGGAATCGACGATAAATTGTGTCTGCGTGTGTTTCTTCCCTCCTGAAAGAAACCCGCCACGGGAACCCCAATCCTGAGACACCAGGGGCGTCCATGGATGTGTGGTGCGGCAGCGTCACGCTGTCCATGGCACAAGCATCCCTGTAGGTCTAGGTCGGGTATGTCCCCCTACAGGCGGATTTTGGACGAGAAATTAACATATATCCCCAACATGGTCCCCATATATCCCCCTACATACTTTTAAACACATATCCCCAACATGGTCAAATATGCTAAACATGAAATCGTCCCCAGACTATGTTTTGACTATGTTTGAATATTCCTCCTGTGAAGGGACAGCCCCGACTTAACTGTAGGTCTCGTTGCCCTCCCGGGGTCCTGCATCACCGCGAACAGGTCCAGGGCCGTCGCCCACTCGCCGCCCCGCGTTAGCGCCTTGATGACGGTGCTAAAGGTCACCACGTTCGGCCGCAGTCGCTCCTCGCGCAGCCGCCGCAGGAGCGACAGGGCCTTCGCCCACTGCCTGCTCTTGCTGCAGGCGCTGACCTCAGATGCTCTCATCGGCGGCGCGCCGAGGGGGAAGTGCGAGGGAGAAGGCCCTACCCATGAGGCGGCGGGGCTCCTCAGACGCCCTCAGGCCTTCTGAAAAAGGTTCCTGTGTCTTCGGGGAAGGTGTGGGAGGAGGAGGAGGAAGGAGGAGGAGGAGGAGGAGGAGGAGCGAGGAGGAGGAGGAGGAGGAGGAGGAGGAAGCAGGGGAGGAGGAAGCAGAGGAGGAGGAGGAGGAGGAGGAGGAGGAGGAGGAGGAGGAGGAGGAGCAGGAAGAGCGACGAGGACGAAAGTCTCAGACGGCCAGAGGACTGCCAAGCCTCCTGAGAAGGCCCACCCCCACTCGCTCCAATCCCCAGGCGCGCCGCCGATCTGAAAGACGCTGGGGGTTGGAGCCGGCTGGGGTCCGAGATGGCCCAGCACGGGCTCCGGCCAGCAGGAAAGAAGGGGCCCTGGGACACACACACACACACACACACACACACACACACACACACACACACACACACACACACACACACATATAAATACACACAAATAACCGAATTCCCAATATTTCCCCAAACTTTCTGGGTTTCTGTCTTCCCCCCTACTTCCCATATTTTCCCATATTTTCTAGGGAATCGACGATTAATTGTGTCTGTGTGTTTCCTGAGGGTCTGGGCTCGACCACCTGTTTTTGTTGCCATGCTCGGCCTCGAGAGGCAGTCTTCCGGCCCCGGGGCCGTCAGGAACGGATCCGGGGCTACAAACTGCACCTTGTGGACCTCGGGAGGGATCCTCTCTCAATTGCACAGGAAGGAGGAAGAGGACGAGGAGCAGGAACAGGAGGAAGCAGATCAGAGTGAAGGGGACTGAACCGAACGGTCATTCACTGTCCCTGTGTGCGGGGCTGAGGTGGAATTCCGCGATGCGGATTATTATTATGCTTAAATTTTCATTTATGAAGAATAATTATTGCTGTTTCTCAATCAAAGTGTGCCCCTCGACGCTCGCACCCTGTTTTTTGACAGGGGAAGCGTTGATGCTCAAACTGGGCCCCTGGCCCCCGGGTTACAACAACAACGGCTCCCGCCTGAAACTTCCGTACAATTTAGCCCGGTCCCCCGCTCCCGCCCGAGTCTTCTTCGCATTTTATTCAGGAATCGCGCTCTCGCTTGGGACTTCCTCACAATGTATTAACGAATCGCTCTCCCGGCGCTCTGGAGTCGCGTTCTCACAGGAGACTTGCTTGCAACTTACTGAAGAATTGCATTGCGTTGGAATTTCCTGCAATTTGCCCAAGCGCCGCGCTCTGGACACCCAGGCACCCAGGAGTCGCGCCCGTTGTGGCCCCATGTGCATGCCCTTCGTGGCCCCGCTGTCGCCATTCGTGTCCCCCTCAGTGTCTTACGTGGCCCAGTTGCTACCCTCAGTGGCACCATAGTTGCCTTTTGTGGCCCCGCATGATCTGCACTTCGCGGCCCCCGCTCGTTCGCGCTCATCGTGCCCCCACACGCATTCCCTTCGTGTCCCCGCTGTCGCCCTTCGTGGCCTACTTCGTGCCCTTCGTGGCCCTGCTTTCGTTCTCTCTTGCTTTCGCTTTCGCTCGTCGTCGCCGTCGCCGTCGTCGTCGTCGTCTTCGACGTCGTCGTCGTCGTCGTCGTCGTCGTCGTCGTGGTCGGTCCCCTGTCCGTCCCTCTTGGGGTCGGGTCGACGGTCCGCGGCCGCCCCGCCGATCAGCGCTGCCGCTGGCCAGGCCGACGGTCCGTGGCCGCCCCGCCGCTTGCTGGGGCCCGGCCTGCAGGGAAGAAAGGTATACCCCCCAAAAGGGGTTCGATCGAAGACGAATAGGGCGGGTATGGAGGGTTTGGTAGATTCGCGTTAATGGACACTGGAGCAAATAAGGGCGAACAGTCCGAAAATTGTTGTTGTTGTCGTTGTTGTTGCGATTGTTGGTGTTGTTGTTGTTGTTGGTGATGTTGTTGGTTGTTGTTTGTTGTTTGTTGTTGGTTGTTGGTTGTTTGTTGTTTGGTGTTTGTTGTTTGTTGTTTGTTGTTTGTTGTCGTCGTCCCACCCGCGACCCGCCCCGCGACCCACCCGCGACCCACCCCGCGACCCACCCGCGACCCACCCGCAACCCACCCCGCGACCCACCCGCGACCCACCCCGCGACCCGCGACCCACCCGCGACCCACCCGCGACCCACCCGCGACCCACCCCGCGACCCCCCGCGACCCCCCCGCGACCCACCCGCGACCCACCCGCGACCCACCCGCGACCCACCCCGCGACCCCCGCGACCACCCGCGACGCACCTCGCGACCACCCCGCGACCCACCCAAAAGTTTCGGCGCCTGCGGCGGGCTTCTTTTGCATTCGTTCCAGGTGGAGAACCTGCGACCCACCCGCGACCCAAACAGCGCCCGCGACCCACCCGCGACCCACCGCGACCCACCCGCGACCCACCCGCGACCCACCTCGCGACCCACCACCAACAAATTTTCGGCGCCTGCGGCGGGCTTCTCTTGCTTTCGTCCCAGGAGGAGAACCTGCGACCCAAACCGCGTTCAGTGTACAAATCAAAATTTCCGGCGCTTGCGGCGGACTGTTTTTGAATCTCTTCCAAGTGGAGGTGGAGAGCCCGCGACCCACCCGCGACCCAAACTACGTTCACTGGACAAAACAAAACTTCGGCGCCTGCGGCGGGCCGTTTTTGCATTCGTTCCGGGTGGCCCACTAGCGATCCTCCCCGCGCTGAACTTGTCAGAGCACGCAAATCGGCGCCTGCGGCGGGCTTGCTCGCATTGGTTTGGGAAAGCGCCCTCGTGCCATTCCCCCGATCCGGCCCACGCTGACTCTACAACAACACATCGGCGCCTGCGGCGGGGCTGTGTCTGAACACGTTCATTGACAATCCAATTCCATGCCGCCGCGGAGGAGGGGAGGAGGAGCAGGGCGAGGAGCAGGAAGAGGAAGACCACGACGACGACGAATACGAGGACGAAGAGGAGGCCGACGAGGAGGGCAAGGAGGAAAAGGAGGGGGGGACGGTGGGGGACGACGAGAAAGGAGGGAGGAGGAGGTGGAGGAGGAGAAGGACGACGACGACGGAAAGGAGGAGGGTGGAGGATCGGGATGGGGGAGGAAGAGGAGGAGGAGGAGAAGGAGGTGGAGGAGGAGGAGGAGGAGGAGGAGGAGGAGGAGGGAAAGGAGGAGGAGGACGGGAGGAGGAGGCGGACGACGACGACGATGAGGACAAGGACGTGGACGAGGAAGAGGAGGAGCAGGAGGAGCAGGAGGAAAAGGAGGAGGAGGCGGAGGAGGAGGGTGCCATCGACAAGGAAGGTGAGGGCCACGAGGTCCGCCGGCTCGACGCCCGCGTCGCCCGCACCCGCCCCCTCACTCTTATCCGCAATTGCGGGGTGCTTATTTTCGCTACGACGCGCGCGACTATCCCCAGGTTTGTCTTGGCCAGCTCGCACTCGGGAGCGGGCACCCCAGAAGGGTCTGCGGGGCGATCTCCAGCGGCCTCGACACCACCAGGCTCTACCAACATCGCCAGCAGAGCGCCCCTCTCTCAACTGCACAGGAGGGGAGGACAGGGCTCCACCCATATCAGCAGCAGGGCGCTCCACTCTCAATTGCACAGTAAGGGAGGAGGGGGAGGAGGAGGAGGAGGAGGAGGAGGAGGAGGAGGAGGAGAAGGAGTAGGAGGGGGAGGAGGAGGAAAAGGAAAAGGAGGAGGAGGGGGAGGAAGAGGAGGGAGCAAACTGCATAGCGGCCTGGGCTCTCCAAGCCAGCGAAGGACTCTTGTGGCGGCGTGCAGCAGCTCTCTGAGTTGAGCCTCGAAGTGCGGCTCGACGGTGCCTCGGGGTCCCCTCCCTCCTGGCGGCGCGGGCAGTCAGGCAGGCTTCGACACACGCGGCGGGCAAGACAAGACTGCCGCGTGGTGATAAAGGGAAATAAGAGGAGGGAGAAGAGTCAGGAGGCCCCTCGGGTAATGTCGAGGGGGAGGAGGAGGAGGAGGAGGAGGAGGAGGAGGAGGAGGAGGAGGAGGAGGAGGAGGAGGAGGAAGAGGAGGAGGAGGAGGAGAAGGATGAGGAGAAGGAGGCCGAGGCGGAGGCGCAGGCGGATCGACGATGACGGTAGTGCAGGGCCAAGCCAGCGGGCGGACGGACCGTGGAGACGTGACCTACATTAGGGGCCTGGAAATGAGCACCAATACCAACACAAGGGGTTGGCCCCCACAGGGGGAAGATGATCCTAGATTTCGGTGTTGGTGGAAATGTTTCGGTAACCTCGGCAGCCAGAAGATTACCACCATCACCGAGACTCGGGATCTTCTTCCCTCGGTGGAGGTACACCGCCGATATTGGTGTTGGTGTCAACCTCTAGGCCTGCGACTTCATTCTTCGCGGGCCCCAGCCAGGTCGCCCCCCCCCGGCCGCCACCGAGGGCGCTCCGTCTCGAGGACCGATGAGGCTCCTCCGCACGAAGCGCCGGTGCTGCTACGTCCTCCTCCTCCTCCTCCTCCTCGTCCTCCTCCTCCTCTTTCTCTTGGGTCGGCCTGCGGCCCGCCTGCCCTGGTGTCTTTTTCCGATGTCGCCGCGGCGTTCGGCGGCGCTCCGAGATGTCACACTGCCGCCCGTCTGACGCCCACGCTCTGGGGTGCCAATTCAACACGTCTTTGAAGGGGCCCTGGGACACACAAAAAATACACACAATAACCTCGATACGTCTTTAGTTTTGGCCCCCCCCCCTGGAGCTCTCCGAGGTGAATAGACTCGTCCCGAAACTCGTCCGCTCCCGAAACGTCTCCTCCTCCTCCTCAAAGTGCAGCTCTCGCCGTAGCGCCGCACACATTCGTCTTAAAAGTTTGCAACAGTTTCAAGGATGGAGGGCTCGTGTTGTTCAAAGTGCAGATCTCGCCTTAGCGCCGCGCACATTCGTCTTAAAAGTTTGCAGCAGTGTCAAGGATGGAGGACACGCGTGAGGATTTTTGAGGACATTCGTAAGACGGTTGTGATGTAGTTGTTCGGAATTCTTGAAGTGGTTCCTGCTCGCACTGTCTCGGAGTTGTCTTGGAGCAATCATGCGCCATCTTGGAAGGATTCCGAAACCATCGCGGCCGAAAACAAAATATCTGCCCGCTATTGTTCGCGCGGGGGCTGTTGTCTGGGGGTTGTTCCTCCCAGGGAATAATGCCGCATGGGCAACCCTGCGCGCGTGAGAATGTTTGAGGACAATCGTAAGACGGTTGTGATATAGAATTGTTGTTCGGAATTCTTGAAGTGGTTCCTGCGCGCGCTGTCTTGGAGTTGTCTTGGAGCCATCATGAGCCATCTTGGAAAGAATCTGAAACCATCGCGGCCGAAAACAAAATATTTGCCCGCTATTGTTCGCGCGGGCGCTGTTGTCTGGGGGTTTCCTCCCAGGGAATAATGCCGCATGGGCAACCCTACACGCGTGAGGATTTTGGAGGACATTCGTAAGACGGTTGTGATGTAGAATTGTTGTTCGGAATTCTTGAAGGGGCTCCTGCTCGCCTGAGCGCCGCGCACTCTCGTCTTAAAAGTTGGCAACAATTTCAAGGATGGAGCGCGCATGTTGTTCAAAGTGCAGCTCTCGCCTTAGCGCCGTGCACTCTGGTCTTAAAAAAAATCAACAGCTTCAAGGATAGAGGCCGCACGTTGATCAAAGTGCAGCTCTCGTCTCAGCGCCGCGCGCATTCGTCTGAAAAGTTTGCAACAGTTACAAGGATGGAGGGCTGGTGTGGTTCAAAGTGCAGCTCTCGTTTCAGCGCCGCGCACTCTCGTCTTAAAAGTTTGTAAAAGTTACAAGGATCGAGGGCTGGTGTGGTTCAAAATCCAGCGCTCGCCTTAGCGCCGCGCATATGCGTCTTCGTCTTCGTCGTCGTATCGCTGTCGTAATCGCAATCGCACGCGTACTCGTTATCGTCTTCGTTTTCGTATTCGTCGTCGGACCGCCCGAACTATAATTATTTTCCGCTATTGTCGGGTGGGGTCGTTTTTTCCGAGTTGTCAATAAATTCGCCCGAAAGATAGTTATTTTCCATATACTGGCCAGGGGATTTCTAAAGACCTATCGGGGTTAACAGGATTCCCCATCTTTTCGTGTATTTTCGGGGGTTTCGTCTTCCCCCCCACTTCCCATATTCTCCCGTATTTTCCTGGGAGTGGACGATTAATTGTGTCTGTGTGTGTGTGTGTTTTCTCCTTCTGAGTCTTGGTCAACTTAAGATCGACTACAGTCGACCCGGATAGTAAGGATGCGCGATAAGGATGTTTTGGGCCTTTGGGCGCCCATGTCGAAGCGTTCCGAGCGGGGCGCGGCCAACGAAAGTGTCCAAGGATGGGCCCAGGAGGCAAGGATGCAAGGGTAGCCTCGGGAGGGATGTCTATCCTTACTACGCGGGTCGACTGTAGTGGACAACAACCCCCCTCCCCCCCCAAACAACCAAAAAAACAGGGCGGGTTGCGGAGATCCTGAAGCCAACAAAAACATGTATCTCCAGGGAGGTCGCCTTTTGCTTCCGCCGGCTTCCGCCGGCGGAGGCGGCCGCGTTTTACCTCCGCCGCCTTCCGCAGAGTTTCCGCCGCCTTCCGCCGAGGAAGAGATGGCAACTCCGTCGATCCTCGAAGACGAAACCCTTTTTGGAACGCTCCACCTCACAACTAAGGCGCCAGCGAGGGAATTGTAGGTGATCACGTCCTGCTGCACCCGCTCGCGCTGCATCTGGTCGAACAGCCGAAGGGCCTGCTGCCACCGGTTGCTCTTCTCGCACGCGCCTGTCATGGGCGAACACGGGGGTACCGATACAGCTGGGCGCGAGTTCACGGGGGGCGATACTCTGGGGGGAAAAGTTCGGGCCCCAACGACCCCCTTGGGGCCCCAAAAGGCCGCTTGAGGGGCCCAGACGGGCCCCTGCTCGGCAGCCCTCGCTGCCCCCCCAATGTATCGCCGCTCGAAAGACTCTCCAGGGGTACGTTCTGACCGTGACTTCGAACAAAAATCTGGCCGTGGCAACAAGGACCTCTGGGGAGGCCCAGAATGGCGAGAACGAGAAAAGAGCAGCAGCATCGGAGTAGAACTATATATATATATATATATATATACATACATCCATACATACATACATACATACATACATACATACATACATACATACATAAATACATACATACATATACATATATATATGTCGATATATACACACAAATGAACATATTCTTTTTTACTATATATATACATCTATGTATTACATCTTTGACCCTGGCATCCGCCGATATGTTGGTTTCAATCCCTGGCCCAGGAAGCCCAAGCCGTTTTCCCGAGGCTGCAGCCTCGGGAAAGCGGCTGCAGCCTCGGGAAAGCGGTCGGGACGGGACGCAAAACAATTATTTGTCGTCACGACTCATTGTTTCGGGCCCCAGGGGCAAGATGACCGTCCCTTGAGGTCGAAATCGATGGGAAGCGCCGGGATCGACGGAAAACGCCGGGATTGAAAAAAATCCAACCGTCGGAGATCTGGGTCTGACCTATGGTCGCGTTGTACGTGATCACGTTCGGGAGCACGCGCCCCTCGCGCATCTGGGCAGGAGAAGGAAACACCGGGCCAACATTAACTCTCGGAACTCCGCGCGCACTTCCAGAGTCGGCGCTGGACCCTCCCTGGCGCGCGGAGCTCGCCAGGGGCGGCGCTGGCAGGTGTCATTGCACCGACTTTGCAGACGTGGTGCAGCGGATGGTTGCGAAGATTCTGTCAATGCAAAACCCGGACACGGCGAGCGTAAAACGAAGTGACTTTCGCGCGGAGTTTTGTTCGTCTTCATTCTTGGCCCCAAAAAGCCGCACGAAATTCACCTCGAAATTCGGAACGAAATTCTCTGGGACACTCCGGGCCCATGCGATTGTCTTTCGAACGAAATCCGCTCTGCGAGGTTGGCACAATGACATGTGGGCCCCACTTGGAACATGCCGAGTTGAGGCAACAGCAGCTCAAAATCCATCCCCGGACCCCTCCCGGAGTCCAAACGTACAGATTATCCGAAATGCGTGGGGCCGTGGCGAAAAGGGCCCCCCCGAAAGCCAAAAGATCCCCTGAGGTCCGATGTTGCGAAAAAATGCGGCATCGTGACAAATCACGACCAGGGCCCTGGACACCATATTTCTGCGCCATGTTTGGAGCCAAATCGATATGTGACGGTCCCGGGGGCCGAAACAAGGCGAAATCGCCCTTGTGACAAACATGCAACGCCAGGATCTCAGGGTCTGGTCAACGCCGATCCGAGAAGTCCGCGCGGAGAACCCCGAAAGTCATGCTCATGCCGCTTTTCCTTCTCCCAGCTGGAAAAGCAGGCGCAAGGCGTCCTGTGAGGGACAACGGTAAGAGGGGGAAACTATCAAGCAGCGGACACATCGACTTCCCCCCATCCATCCTTCCTCCCTCCCTCCCCCCTCCCTCTTTCCCGCCTCCCCCTTCCATTCCCTCCCCATCGAACCATTTGTGTTCTGACAATTTCCGCGGGGACCAACGTCGGTCCCCTCACGTGGGTGTTCGAGGAGCAGGGCAAACCAAGTGTCTACTGTCTCGCCCTTGTAAACGCTGTACACAAGTGTTTGTGCTGGCGAAAGCCGAGGAAACGCAAAGGCACCCCAATGGTCAGTTTGCAAAGGGTGCGACACATCAAACATATAATGGAAATGTCGTGGCGAAGAGTGCGCGTTCGTTGCAATAAGAAGAGAAAGCTTTACGCCTCTCCGTCCACGAAGGACTCGGACAACAAAGACAAGGATGGCAAGGATCCCGGGAACAAGAAAGGTATCTTGAAAGTGCCGTTCGCCGACCAGGGAGGAAGCTCGAAACACGGCTGTAGACCGTGCGCGCCAACGACCTGGCCCAGAGGCACAGGATCGGCACTTCCTGTGCTCGAGCAGGCCCTGACGCAAGGGACAAGCTGAAGCATGAGCAGCTCCACCACAAGGGCCTGACATTGGCCCTCCAGGTTCTTCAACTGGCGAAAAGCACTTGGCGCGACGCCAACAACAGGCGCGCAGGAACGCACAGGCCGTCCAGGCCGTGATCAAGCCTGTGGGCCGACCTGGGGAGAAGGGGCACACATTCGCCCTGGAGCCCGCTGAGGTAGACTTCAGCAGGAAGAAAGCGGCACGCGCACTGGCCGCCATGGCAGGAGTGACACCTCAGGCGGCGCAGCCTACGGCGCCAGAGGCCACTGGCAGACCCGTTAACTTTTCGCTCGATCAGATGCTCTTCGAGAAATTAGATGTCCTCGAATGCGAGGCCAGCGAACGCGAGGAGCTCGAGAAGGCGCGCAAGACGCTGCCCGAGGCCCACAGGAACTTCGACACTCGCGGCACAGCCGCTGCCGATGCCGCGCAGAAGGCGGCCGCCACGAGGAAAGCGATCACGGAGAGGACGGCCAAGAGGCGAAAGGGGGGGTCGCAGGCGAGGCCACAGCGGCTGCAGACACGGTGACACGGGCGCGTCGCCACTCTCGGGGCCAGCCGCGCTGGCCGAGCACCCCCCCGCACCGCCGAAGAAGAAAAAACGCCGTGAACAAAACGTTTTGGCGCTCCGCGCGGATTTCTCGGATCGGCGCCCGGCCCCCCCCCGGCGGCGCCCCCAGCGCCGCCCCAAGGCGCGGGTCGCCAAAAGCCTGCGTTTATGATTTTTTGTCTTCCACGCCAGGCGCGCCGCCCGACGCCAAAGAAGGGGGCCGGGCCGAGCGCGCGAAAGCGGAGGCCAATCGCCCGTCGGAGACCAAGTTCCAGGCGCAGCAGCGCCCGCGAGGCAGGGCGGAGGCAGTGGCGGCGCCATAGGCACGCGGACTAGAGGCTACACTCCCTGCGTCAGTAAGCCACTGCAGCCCGCGCAGCGCTGCCAAGGAGCGGAGCTCTCAACCCGTGGTCCCAGGTGGGGCTCGAGGCACGTCTAGGGAGAGTGACGTAACGCAGCTTGTGTTTGGTAACGTCGCCGCCATGGGTGGCAAGGCGTGGAAATTCGGTCAGGATGCCCATTCGAGTCGTCAGTGCTCAATCTTTTGATTTGCTGAGACCAGTGTCTCACGCGCCGCTTCGAAGCCTTGAATTCGCAATGATAGGCAGGCCAAGCTCAAACTCTTACCCAGTCCAGCTAGGGCCACAGGCAAAGCCGTGTCTTCCGCTAGCCCCGAGAAGGCAACCGAGCGTGGGGAGTGGATCCTCGCGCCAGGGCAAATGCAGGTCCACTCTTTAGCGCCTAGGGCATCTCTCTGACTTGTAAGTTGATGTCAGAGTATGATCGACGGTATCGCAGCTGCCCAAATTTACACAGTTGGATGCAACTTCGCGCCCGTCACTTTTTACACTTTTTCACGGGTACTCGACAATCGGGCAAACGGATTGCAACGTGCAGCGCGTTGCTAGGTTAGGGGCATTTCTTGTCGCGGTTCAACATCCGTGGATCGCCGCGGGGGACCTCAATGTCGCATTCGCAATTTTGGCTGGATCGGGATTTCTCGCTCGCGTCGGAGGGGGGGCCGTCAATGCCCCGGTCGACTACGCGTGCGACGCAGGCCGCGAAGGTAATCATATCGATGAAGCTGTACGTAGTTCTGCAGCAGCGAATCTAGTCAAGGTGCCCCCTCTCACGGAGGCCCCCACGAGGACCCACTGCGGGCTCGCCCTGACCCCCAGGGTCCCGGGTAGCAGTGGCTCACTGGAAGGCCGGCCCCCGTCGGGGGCCCACCCCAAAGCCCTAGTTTCAGCGACCATAGGCAGACCAGGCCTTCAGTCGACAGTCGGCGGCCGAGAAGCCCCATCAACATTATCACGATCTTGTTGGCGACTTCTGGCCCACGGCAGCCTGCGCAACGGGTGGCGCGGAGCAGGGGGCTTCGCCTGCTGCTGATATGGCCATCCGCATCCTTTCGATATTCAGTCTGAAGCGCCATCGTAAGAGGATACGTGCCAGCGCGAGCTCAAGTTTTATACTGATCCTAACTCGGGGTCGTTGGCCTGCCCCAGCGCCCCAGCCCCACCAGCGGGCGTCGAGGCGCCGAAGGCAGCCGTCGAGACTGAGACGCACGAGCCAACTGCAAGGCCTTTCGTTTGAAGTCAGAGGGGCCAGCGCATCACTCACCGCAGTGCGCGCCCTGCACCCAGTGGGGGCTCGATCCGCCTATCGAGGTTCATATGTCGATGATGGCCCTGCGCCGTCAGTCTCCAGCGTCGTCGCCCATCCCAGCGCGTTTGAAGGGCCGCCCCCCCCCCCCCCCCCCACACCTCCAGGCGATGGTCGCGAGGTCAGCTCCATCCCCGCCGAGGTGTGGATGGAGGCCTGCTGTGCTGCCGGTTTCACCCCTGCGTCGCAGTGCACTCCTCCGCAGACTTTCGTTTCGTCCGTTGCCGCGGAGCTCGAGTTCACATCCGTTGGCCCCGTCTCGGCTCTGCACGCCGCCTGGGCGGCGGCGTTGGCGATGGGCGGTCCACGAACGCAATGGAGTGCATAAGCGTTGGGGCGCAGGTGTCGCGTCGAGACGAGAACGCACTGTGGTGGAAGGTGCGCGATATATTATAGCGCGCCGATAATCATCGCACTCGACGCACAGGACACAATCAGCAACGGCAGCTCGGGCAAGCGAGCGGGCAGATGTCGCGTGCGTGCCATGATCTGGCAAATCTGGGTCTTCGGCGGATGTCGAGCCCAGCTTGGCACAGATGGAAGACCGCGCTCGGTAACGGAGCTCATGATGACCAGCGCGGCCTGGACAACTACGCCACCGCCGCCGAGCGCATAGCTGCGCGGCGTCGGCGAAAGGGCCCCTCTTGCATCAATCGCGGACGTTTGCGAGTGGATGGCGTAGCCTAGTTCAGCAGGAGCGCTGCGCCAGTCAACGCGTCGAGAGCCGATTTCAGTCGACGAGGCTGCTGTGGGGTCCCAGGTCGGATGTCATCACAAGGCTCCTGTCGACCACAAATCAGAAGCTTCTCGGCAGGCGTGGGCCCCCGGGGACCGCCGCGAGTCCGCGCTGTCCAGTGCGTTTGAGAGAGCTCGCGCCGCATCTCGAGGTGAGCCATTCGAGCCACTGCCGGTAAATGAGATTTGAACAGCAGCACATGCCGCGCGACGCAAGGCAGGCATGGGTGCCGACGCACTCTCTCCCATAGACATCGAGAGCTAGCCCGGCGTTGCTGTTCAAGGGTTTTCACAACTGCGCAGCGTCAGCGAAGAAACGCGTCTGGCCAGCCCAGTTGGGCCTCGCCACAGGCAGACTCCTGCCCAGGAGAACTCGCGACTGGGCACGGTGCTGTAGAAGCCCAAGGATATTTCGATGAAACGCAGCGGTGGTTGATCATTCCAGCGGCGTTGCGGCGAGGCGACCCTGCTGAAGTGATGTGTTTGGAGCTGGTGCAGCGCCTCCTGCCGCGCGCTCTAGGACAAGGTCCTGCTTCGCCGAGAGTATGCAGCCGATCCGGAGTATTGTGCAAGGCCTTCGAGGGGGTACTCCTTTCGCACGGTGCCTCACCGACTGATAAATAGCTCGAATTGCCACTGCCCGTCCAGCGAACGGATCCCGCATCTGGCTCGGCGATCTACCCCAACAAGCTCATGCGTCTCATCGGAAGCTACGCCACAAACTCATGGCAGGGCTGTTGGACACGACTGGAACC